AAGAGTTGTTTAGTCAATTGCAAATAGATTTATTTGTGTGATTTTTCTGGAGTTGGTTACTTGAATAGATTGGAATTTGGATTAGTAAAGGATATTAAATGCTAAAAATTTGTAAGATTACTACCAATGTTTTCAATCCACGATTGATCCATATGATCATATCATTCGAACCATTACCTGCTTACAATTTTGGATTTCAATTTTCATAAAATATGAGATTTAACCAAAAAATGTTGATTTGGTCAAATGCATTCAACCCTTGCTGACCCATTGTCACTGGTTCACAAATTACTTGCTATGTTACATATATATATATATATATATATATATATATATATATATATGTAAAGAGAGAGAGAGAGAGAATATTAATTATGCTAGTTATAATATTATTTATATTATATTATGTATATATATATATCAAAATTTATTTAAAATATCATTTGTATTTTAATTTTTCCTTTAATTTAAGTAAACACCTTTCTAAAAGCAAACTCTTAATTAAAAGAATTAGGGATTCAAGTCCCTGATGGGGATGCCCCCTCTATTGAGATATGCGGATGCATGCTAAAGTTTTTGACAGGATTAACTTAAAACTCGAAATCAAGATGGGGAGTATGATCCATGCCCCAAACCCGCTCATTGTCATTCCTACCCTAGGGGTCATCCCTTAAACCCATGACACCCCCCAAACCCATAAATATAGTTCCATTAATTATGGTAATTATAAATGTAGTATCCAATACTTATGGAAATTATTAAAATTTTCAAATTATTTATTTGAAAAATTGGAAGTTTTATAATTTAACTTTCACTAAATTAACAAAATCACTAATTATTGCTGAAAAAGTATAGTAAATATCACAATTATTGAAAATATAAAAAAAAATTATCTTTATTGAAATTAACTTTCCGCTAAAAAATTACTACAAATTTTTAATTATTATAGTTTAGGTGTTGATATTTACTAAATAATATTCAATAATATCAATAATTATTGAAAATATAAGAAATATTTCACAAATTAATTTAACTACCCAAATTAATTTAATTAATTAATTTAACCACGTCTTTGGTTTTCAGGTGATTTATAATATATATTAAGAGGTGTCTTAGGAAGAATTTTAGGTGGGAGAGATAGTTTAGGAGAAATTTTAGGAGGGGGTTGGCTAAGTGACTGAGAACATGAGAGAGAGAGAGAGAGAGAGAGAGAGAGATTTGGAGTGGGACTCTAGTGTAGAAGAGAGGGCTGCCACGTGGCTACAATGAAGGGCTAGGAACGGGGAAGGAAGAAAGAAAAGAGGTTTAAGGAGAGAAGAGAGAAGGGGGAATGGGAAAAAGAGAAGGGTGGTGACATGGGACCTAATTGCTTTATAATATAGCATACATACATACATACATACATACATACATACATACATAAATAAATAATTTTTATTATATGTATAATAACATTTTTGTTTTTCATATGTACAATAAAAAATATTATATATAATATTTTTATTTTTTATATATATGACAATAAATGATTTTTATAATTCTTAAATATTTGTATGTAAAATAAAAAAATAACTTTTATATGTAGGATGTTATTTTTATAGGAAGCTTGGCTCAAATTCGAGCTTGATATGAGCTTTTAAGCCAACTCAAAATCGAGCTCAAATCTCTACCTCGAATCGAGCTCGAGCTTGATAGTTTTTTCATGAGCCAATATGCCAATATTAAATATCTAGATGTTTGGTTCAGCTCAGCTAGAATCCACCTCTATTGGGTAGCCTAGATTAAGTCGAGTTGAGGTCAACCTAACCCAAATCAAGTTATGGAACCCTCACCCATAAATCTAATGCAACCTAAAAGCTTGAAGTTAGGGTCAAGTTTATATATATATATATATATATATATATATATACCGATAGAGAGAGATGGTATACTATAGTTATTAATTTAGAAAAAAATGCATATTTTTCTATAATTTTGATTATAAAAATAAATTAACATTTTATATTTCTTTTTTCTTTTTTGTATAATTTATTACTTCATTAGTTTGCTAGCTCGAATGCTAAGCCCTAGACATATTATCTAGCATAATGTGTGGGCCTATCAAGCCTCCACAACATTAAAAGTTATTAATGGTCTGCAAAAAACTTGACATAAGAGTATATCTACATAAAAATTAAATGGAATTTTACTAAAAGTTTTTTTAACTATCTAAATGTTTAACCTATTGCCCATTGTTTGGATATATCAATTCAACAATTCAAATGTTTAATTCATGATATTATTTTAAACAAAATAACATTTAAACAATAATTATGAGAAAATTTCATTACAAAAAATGTCCCAAAATGAAGATATTGTGATTTTAATTTGTGAAAAACATTTAATTGTATGTTATTAAAGATAACTATTTTGTAATAAATACCTAATTGTTCATCACTATAAATAAAGATTTTGTGACCAGCATTAAACTATTCGTCTCTATAAATCAACTTTTATGATTTTGTGACAAATATTTTATTTTTTGTCACTATAATTTGCCATTTAGTGATGATGGTTCAATTGTCCATCACTATAACTCAATATTTAGTGACGATGATTAAGCCATTCATCACTATAAGTCAAACAATTGTGATGGATGATAATTGTCCGTTACTATATATCAAGATTTTGTGCTTTTGTGATGGACACTAAATTGTTTGTCAGTATAATTTGCCATTTAGTGATGATGATTTAATTATCCGTCATTATAACTCAATATTTAGTGGTGGTGATTAAGTTGTCCGTTACTATAAGTCAATCTACTGTGATAGATGACAAATCGTCCGTCACTATATATCAATATTTTGTGCTTTTGTGACGGACATTCAATTGTCTGTCACCATAAATCACAATTTGGTGACGGAGCTTCAACCATCCATTGCTATAGTTTCTCTATAGTGACGGAAAATCTCTTTATCACTAAATAGTGTATTTTTAGTGACAGAACTTTAAATTCGTCACTATATAGTTATTTATAGTGACAACATCATTATATATCCGTCACTAAAACCCATTTTTCTTGTAGTGGGAACAAAATAGAATTGCAATAGGATGTATTTCAATTTTCAAGAGATCAATGTGGGCACTCCACAGCGCCCAATAGCACATCAACATCTCCTAATAACAAGTACGGGAGATATTAGCAATACACGGTGAGATGTGCATGTGGGGGCGCTCGTGGGGCGTTGATGTGATCTCCAATTAATGTGGCCGAGGCATGGGCAGCAATGAAGCACACGAGATGGTTAAAAAAAAGTAGTAGTATCAACCATCAAAATGAGGGTGCAAAAAAGTGATCAACAGTCTTCTGGGCAAAATACAACCCTCCTTGGGGAATAACCAACATGAAGAGTGAATGCAGAAGAATAGCAAAGAAAAGAAATTCAGTGTAATGCAAGAACGTATTAGGGAGGCCAATCAAGCGGCATATAATATTGGCTAACTAAAGTTCAGGGCTTCAATAGGGTGTGGAACAACGTTGGATAGTTTAAGAGCTTTGCCAGTGGAAAAGCTTAGCATCTCTGTGAAGGGGGAATAGCCTGTCGAGAAGAGCTTTGCAAGTGGAAGGATGGAGGCGGCCTAAGCATGGTCGGGTCAAGGGGAATTCTGATGGGGTTTTCTGTGCTGGTTGTGGTAAGGCGGTATTTGGTTTTGCAATCCGAGAAACCAGCGGGGATCTGATTGAGAGGCTGGAGGCCGCGGTGTGGCATAAGAAGTTGCTTGTGGAGCTCATTCAAGCTACAGAAACCCTAAGAATTTTGCAACGTCTGTAGTCTTCCCCATTGTTAAGGACATCAAGAACGCAAAGTTTAGGCAAGTTTCTTTCTCGATAATCCCCAGATTGGCAAATGGCGCGGCTCATTGTGTTGCTAGGAAGTTGTTAGCTTTTCCCTTGGCTTGCGAGGGCCATTTTGTTGGATAATCCAGGTTGAGAGCTTGTAATTGCTATAACTTTACCGAAAAAAAGAGCATATACATTGTTATACACCTCCCAAATTATATTTGTTTCATGGATGTATGGAAGGGTTACCCCTAGCCCCCAGGATTATTTATTTAGTCCTTGATCTTTTGAGATTGTGCGAAAAGAAAAATTTAAGGAAGTTGTCATGGGTAGTGACCTTGCGGGCCTTAGATCCCAGCGGGCAAAAAACTCCTAACCTGAAAAATGCTGACAGTAAAATTAAGATCAAGTTATGAAAGCCTAGAAGAAAAAACAAAAAAACAATGGCCTATTATCTAACTAAACAATTAATAATACAGTGTGGGGAGAACTCAAAGAAAGATGACAAAATCTTCAGCTCACAGCCTCGCACCAAAGTTTTTTATCTAAGAAATTGATCTGTTTCTGAAATTTGGAAAAATCTCAGGAACAGGCCCAAGAGACCTTATACAATAGGAAACATATTGATCAGCATTATAGATTCATTCACTTCTAGTTGAAGCTTGACTTGGCATTGCAGAATCAGGAAAACTACAAAGTTTATAATTTAGACAATAAGTATGTATGCTGATTAAAGCACATGTAACTGCAGATGATTCTACATATGCTGAAACAATGTTGAATTGGTTACTACAAATTATGATGAATTCTCTTGATGATGATGAGTACCTTCTATGAAAATGATAGCAAAAGAACTATTACTTTGCAGACCTTATACCATTGCATTTTGCATCTAAACTGTTTTTTTTTTATTGGTAGCTTGATTTTTGTAAACTTCAACAAGTTAAATTTTTAAAAGATAATTACAATGCAGCTCCTTTGACTCTGTTTAAATAGTTATTGGTACAAAAATACACCCTTATTCTTTGTCACCCTCAAGATGCCTACAATATTATGGAAGTTCAGTGAATAACAAACAAGAGAAATACAAATGGCCTTATCTGGACAATCAGTATTCATGGTGGGAGAGAAGGATGTCCAGTTTTAGTTTGTTAAATCCATTGATGTGAAGAAAACAAACTAAACAAAATGTAACATGTTTTAAGTTTGAACGTCTGCTAAAAAATATATAGTTACATCCTTCAATTCAACAACAAGTAAAACAGTTCAACCTTCCATGCATGCCTTGCATGAAGTTCTAAGGTCCTCTTTCCTTCTTTCTTGTTTAAAATAAAGCTTTTTCATAACTAGGAAAAGTCTAAGGTAGATTAACTGCTTGACAGTCTGCTGTAATTGCAAAAGCACAAGAATTATTCCTGGTGACTTTATATTTTACATCAGTGAACCAGAGGAAATTTGAACTAGATTAAACTACATATCTGTTGAAATTGACACCAAGGTATCCCGCCTAATTTGTCTCTGGGTAAGGTTGAGCAAAACTACTTAAAAACCCACCTTTTATGATATATAAGCTTCTCCCCTAAAACTAGCGTGGGTATACCTCTGTCAATGACATATTTATAGATTGCAGTAACACCTTGCTTGCAGATTGATCAGATTCAGTTCCTTGTGACTCACTCCTTGCAGGAACGATAGTCTTGGCTCTGCCACTAATGAAATATGGAGGTGCTGAAGGTAATGCAAGTGTAACAGAGTAGCTGTTGAGCATAAGAATAACCAAAGACATGGTGGGTCGGTCAGCTAAATTTTCTTGAACACATAGCAACCCAATGTGGAAGCATCTCAGCGCTTCATGCCTTGAATAGCGATCGCATAATGTAGGATCAATCAACTCTAAAACTGCCCCTTCTTTCCACCGTCTCCATGCCTGCAACAGTTAGTCAAACATATTGGAATTATTTACAATTCAAGGTCCACATTACTTTTCATCCCAATGAATTTTGGCATAATGTTTTGTCATCTCCACTACTTTCCATTTTCCTTTCATCTTCAGTTAGTCCATAAAGAAATAATATAAAAGTATACGCACGACCCAAACTATACTTTTGAAGCCAGGTGACCAACTCTAGATTCTAGAATTGTCTCTTCTACTTGGGAACAAAAGGATTACTGGTAGAATCCTCATCAGAGCCCCTACTTTTTAAGTTATCTAAAAGATGGCAAATGACACTTCATATCTGTTTAATTCTTTTGAATTTAATAGCAAAATATTATATCCTTGTGCTTATTCTTCTTTCTTAAATTGGCACCTCAAATTAAATCAAGCTTATGAATTTAGAAAACACTGAAACACACTTACATAGCTTAGGAAGTATTCCGTCTGCTCTGATTGATAGAAATCATTGTTCCTCTTACCAGTAATAATCTCAAGGAGGAGGACACCAAAACTAAATACATCAGACTTAACTGAGAAGTGTCCACGCATTGCATACTCTGGGGGCATATATCCACTGCATATCATCACACACAAAAAAGTACTCAGGTTGAAGGATAGCAGAAGCTTACTTTTAAATGCCAAATGGCTCATACAGTATGTCAGATGACTCTGTCCCAAAGAGTAGTTCCCTAATTGGTTGGAGCCTAACATATTAAGGGACATATGTGGAGATTTTGTAACGTCTGGTGACTTACTGGAACTCAGCTCTTAAAACAGAACTTGTAACTCAAACTTACTATGTTCCAACCACTCTATGCGTATTTCCTTCAGTTTGATCTGGTACAAAAAGCCTTGCCATGCCGAAGTCTGAAATTTTTGGATTCATTTGTTCATCAAGCAAAACATTGCTAGCTTTGAGATCCCGATGAATAATTCTATGTCGAGAATCTTCATGAAGATAAAGAAGACCTCTAGCAACCCCTACTATAATTCCGTAGCGCCTTTCCCAAGTGAGATCTGCACATTTTATTGGATCTACACATTCATGCAACAGAAAATTACAATTGCAGTTAAAATGTATTAGATGACTGATCAATATACAACTTCCCATATTTTACAAATCTAGCTTGCACAGTCTAACATACAGAATAGCAAGAATATAGTAAAATTCAGATAAACAGATGAAGAATAGGGCCAAACCAAATAGAAAATGATCAAGGCTTCCATTCGAAACAAACTCATAGATGAGCAACTTCTCTCCTCCACTCAGGCAGAAACCTAAGAGTCGAACAAGGTTTCTGTGTTGAAGCTTTGCTAACAACACAGCTTCATTTTTGAATTCCTTTGCACCTTGTCCAGAGTTTCTGGACAGCCTCTTCACAGCTATTTCTTGTCCATCAAAGAGTCTACCCTGTGGAAGTGTTAATATGAACTAGGTCAAGCTTGTAATTCAATGTATAATAACTCAAAATCAACCCCAAGAAGTAAAATAAATCCTTAATCCTACATCATCCCCCCTCCCCCCACCTCCAACCCTCGTGAAGGCAGGAATCCTATATCATTTTAAGATGGGTATGTTAGAGCATGGTACCTTATAAACAACACCAAATCCACCTTCTCCAAGCTTGTTAACATCAGAAAAGTTGTTTGTTGAAGCTTTAACTGTTTCAAAATCCATTTGCAAGGAATTTACCATCTGAACCTCGTCCTCAGCTACACAGGACAATAATCGAAGTTAAGCTCATAGATGCATACATACTATTTGAAAAAGAAAGATCTCAAGCAGAATGAATTGCAGGAACCAAATTTTGCAGAAATCCCTCTGAACACGTATATATTTGTTTAGTGATCTACAAGATCCTATATAAATGAAATTAGTATTCAGTGGGAAAATAAGTTTTTAATCTCCTCAATTTCATGGATGCTTGAACCATTTAACTAAAACAGAACGTTGAGAGCTATTCACCGACCTCTCGTCCTTCTTCCTTTCATTCTCCTCCATGAAAAGATGGCACAGAGGAGCACCGTTATTGAAATTAAAGGAACGACGATAAGGACAATAGATCGAGATTTATTTCTCTCCTTTCCTGCAAAATAAACAGATTACATCAAAACATGAGCATACCAAGCCAACCTGCAAATTCGGCCCAAGAATGAAACCCCCTAATTGGGCTAGATTACATGAAGTTTAAGCTAAGCTCCTATTACTCAGATCTACTTTCTTTCTACTAGAACCATTTCTACCCCCCTTAATATAAATTGGAATAGAGACACTGGCCTCTGATTTGAGAAACTAGAAATTTGTAATCCTAGATGTGATAAAGGTGCATCAGTATATAAAATTGATCAGAACAAGTCACCTAATATGCACTGAATTCTTTTCTTGGGCCCAGATATACAATAAATTGAAAAAAGAAATCTATCTACAGAGATTTCCAGTTACAAGTTCTCCAACAGAAAATATTTACCGCTACTGGTGTTGGTTGTTGTTGTCGTCGTCGTAGAAGGAAATTCTGTAGCGGCTGTCACCCGAAAGAAAGGGTACATATCGTACCTCAAACTACAACTCGGATTGAGAAAATTTCCTCCTTGCTTCCCATTGCAGCATATGGGGATGTTAGCTACAGAACCTACAAGACATCTGCTGCAATCGTTTGCTGACAAGTCTGGAGTGCACTGCGCAAGGCTATACAACGTTTGAGAGCTTGTGAAATTATCTACTTCCGTTGAAAACTTGCCCAGAGAAGGATCAAACGCAACCCGGTTCCTAAGGCGGTCGACGACCTGACGTAATAGCTTACTAAACTCACCTGGGTTCGGTACGTCTGATGAATTAGGAAACGAAAACCCAGGCACCTCGTTTATAGTGGAGAAAATTAACTGGTTGGAATATCGAAGCATACACTCATCATACCATATATATGCCACTCTACCGTTGGGACATCTTCGTATGATCTCCCGACTTGCTGTTTCGATGCACTCCCGGCAGACGTCCCGAGTGACGTCGCCTCTGCAGAGGAAGAGACCGTAAACTGTATTATTAGACAGACCGGCGGTAGCGTTGTAAAATCCATTGGGGGACGAAGCATTAGATGTTAGAAAAGATAGGACGAGATTGAGATTTACTTGGTACGAGCTATTTGGAGAGAATTCATTAGTGGTTGTGTTTTGGCAATATTGAGTGACGTAGGTTGGAGTGGCAGAGGAGAAACAAACATGGAAACAGGTCAAACAGAGCAACAGTAGCTGAGTGGTTATTGTTCCGCACGTCATTGGGATTGCTAAGCTCCTAGGGAAGTGATTATGGCAAGTAACTCTTCCGATCTTTTTATTAGTGCTATTTTAGTGAAAATTCTGAAAATATGGAAAAAGAATATTATTAAAGAAGAGAGTTGTTTAATATTGTTTATCCAAACAAGGATAATTTTTCAGGGGAGGAGCAACAGATAACATAGCCACGTTTTCATGGGAGGAGCTCTACTAACGGGCGAGTATCGACTCGAGTCGAATTCGAATCAGAAACATGAAATTTGATTGCGTTCGAATCCACTTTCGAGCTTTGTATTTCTGAGTCGAGCTCAAATTCGAGCTGGCTGATGCTTGGCTCGACTATACTCTGACCGATTCCAACCATCTCCCCAATTAAAAAAAAAAAAAACAGCAATGGAATTAAAGGCCAGCGTGTCCATGCTTAATTGGAGGTTGATAATGAAATGCTGTGACGACGGTCGCAGCAGATGTGCCCTCTGTTTTTCAAGCCCGAATATCTACCCCACACAAGGAATTGCAGAAGAAGATTGTTTTTGCTTGATGGTTGAAGGAAATGCAGATGTGGGCACGTTTTGAAGAATCTTGACGTTCTTAGTTTTTTAATGATAATATTTAGGGTAAATTGGGGATAGCGATATATAGGTATCGTGAATTTTTAATTGCGACATGAACTCTTGGAAATAGACATCTAGATTCATCCGTTAGTATTCCGTTAGTTATCGATAGTATGCGAAGTCATGTGCAACTTTAAATATATTACAAAATATAAAAACTATTCTTCTCATATTTTCACCTTGCTTTGTTGGAGGAGCATAGTTCTATGTATCAGAATGGAAGCCAAGCAGACATGAACATCTAACTACTCAAACCAGAGTTTTGCGTAGGCCAACTCCTCTGGCACTGTATGTTGCTTCCTCCACTCAATATTCTGTAGTTCGGCATAAAGCTGCCTCTAGAATACAACTTTGCACTCCAAAAATCAGCTTGAGAAAGGCCAACCTGAATCCCAAAAACCTGTTCACCGCTGCTAAAGAGGTAAATACACAAAGGCATAAGAGGCATAAAAATCAGCTTGGATAGTCCTTGCTTTGTGCAGCAACCACAGCACTGTTTATCATTCTGATTCTTGGAAACATGCCAAAGAGGGTTGAGTTCAACCAAAAGCACTCATTGGCGACAATGGCAAGGGTTGAATTCAATGAAAGGGTTTTGCCGGCGGAGTAAAATCATCGCTGGAAAATGCAACACCATTGAAATCCCTAACATGTCCATTACACCTTTCCTAGTCCAACAATCAACCTGCACCTGGTCTACCAAACCGATGTCAATTCCATTGTCAGTTGTCTCGATCAACACAACCGTGGAACAATCACATTTTATGCCTTCATAGAAAAACCAGATTAACTCACCTTCAATTATGTGACCATATCTCTTCTTCCAAATTCTATCCACCATCCCTCTCTCCCCATCGTCTATGCATAGTATCTATCTTCCTCTTAACCTCTGCAATTCTCCCCTCTCAATTTGGAGCTTATCCACCCAAACATCACATGCTTCGAATCAATGAAAATTTTGCAGTTATTGCCATCTACAATCCACATGAACAATGAACCCTGTTCTACTTCTGTGTCCTGTGGCATCAAACACCATCATCTAGTAAACCAGTCATGCTTCCATCATTGATTCTGGTATACTGAACCCAATTAGCAATGGTCTAAGCATTGTTGGAGGTGATGACGCTCAAAATTGATAACACCCTCACTCAAGTCATCAATCACGACATTCATTACAGATTTCGGAGACTGGAAATCTCCTTTTACTTTATCAATCCAAAACTCTCTTTGGCAGAGTTTTGATTATCCCATTATAACTAAAACAATAGTCATCAGTTGGCAAATCACAGTCCAACTCAACATCGGATGATGACTTATCAATAGCATATTACCACTAGCTTCCACACTGACACATAAAACCAAGGTCTAGAGAAATTCTATGGCCATGGAAGAAGATCTAACATTGCCATTGCTGAAGAAGGAAAAAGTAAGGTGAAAATACATGACAAGGGTAGTTTTGGTATTTTGTAATATTTAAAGTTGCACGTGACTTTGAATGATATAGATAATTGATGGAATACTAATGGATGGACCCAAGTGTTTATTTCTGAGAGTTCAAGGTACTCAAGTGTCACAATTGAAAGTTCAGGGTACCTATCTGTAATTTATCCTAATATTTAGGAAGAAATAATCAAATATAACACACCTATCATCTCAATTCTCATGATCAGGTGATGAGGTTAAAAAAATTGAGCATCTGTTTAGTTTGCAGTTGGAATTGGAATCAAAATTGGAATGGTATATTCCGATAGTCTGTTTGGTTCAAACAAAAATGAGATTGGCAATTGGAATTAGCAAGAATGTGATTTCATTCTCAAGGGAGAGGGAAGAAATGGTCATTCCCTTACACTAGGAGTGGGAATGAAATTCCAATTCTATCCAACCAAACAGTTGGAATCAGAATAGCCAGTTCTCATTTTGATTCCAAACCCCTATTCTTGTGAAACAAATGGGGCCTGAGAGATACAATTTTATAAAATTACCCATGCAACGACTATTTACATCACTTTCCTGGACCTGGAAAAACTTAATTGTTGAAAATAACCTTTGATCATAAGAAAAAAAATCTACTGAGCCACATGCAACCCCAATGAAATGGGTCTGGATATAATAGGCATGCTAGGTAAGCACAATGAATGAGCACCTTACAGCTGTGTGACACCTGTCCCAGCTAATGTACTTTTCATCTAAACATTTTGTTCTTTTAAACAGGAATTATTTATTATTTTATTATTTTTCTTCTACTATTCATCATCTTCTCCCTCTGAAGGCAGCTCAGCGGCAGCTGCCTTTAGCTTCTCCCTGACGATCCCTCTTCTCTCATCCTTTCCATCTCTTTCTCTCATTCTTTTCTTCCCTTATCTTTTCTGTTTTTTTTCTTTCTTTTTCCTCCTCCTCGCACGAGCCACAGTCGCAGTTATCCATGTTCATTATTCCCCATCGACAAGAACAGATGACTTACGGCGATGCAATTCTTCTCAGATTCTCCATGCTCATTGTGTGTTGGGCTGTTGGCATTTAAGGTGGAACCGTTTTTCCCGGGCAGTCATGAAAAGTTTCATTTTCAGATGAATGAGTATAATTAATTTGGGATTGTGATAGAATAGGATCATGGGTCACCGGTCCGACCCATAGGATTATAGATGGGTTGAAATCACCAAGTATGAAAATAATAAAACATCTTCTGATGCCACCAACACTTTTCTTTAGAGTTTAGATCTTCCATTAAAGCAAGGAGATTGGACAATGGACCTCATCTTTTCAGATTTTTTCTCGGAAAAGCTTAAAAAATCAATTATTAAAATGAAAAGATAAGCAAGGACATTGGAAAGGCTTGATGGTTAAAAGGAACGACTGATTCCTCCACCGCACCTCTGTATTCTGTAACTGTAAGAGTCTTAGAGAGATAGGCGACCATGCATCTTTATTCGACAAAGTACCGCAAAAGCCTTCCAAACTTTTTAATTTGTAATAGTACTGTGAAATGTTTATTCAACTATTCTTCCTAGGCGAGAGTGGTGTTTATCTTGTCAGGTAATTGCTGAACAAATGATATACATTGGTCGCCGTGGATAAAATCTCAGAGCAAAACAGAGATATACTATGGCCAGCAACCGGTAACCACTATTTCTGTTCAGATAATGGCAGCATATTTCTTTTCAGATGACGTTTTTATCCGACGACAACTTTGTTGATTCAATAAAGTTGCAGATCACAATGCAATAGGGTTTTGGGTTGGAAGTGAGAAGGGTATTTTGAAAATATGATATGAAATTTGAATCCAAACATATGGTTAAAATGGTAAATTTCCAAGATCCATCTATCTCTGTCAACATAACAGGGGAGTTTCTACTGGTGTTGAAAAGTCAAGATGAGAATTGTGGAAAAGTGAGGGGAGTATTAAATAACAACCTATAAGAAAGGTGATTCCATTATGTGGAAATAATGTCTTTTCATAAAAGTTGGGATAGTTTTGTCGTTATAAATGACTACTTTTGACAAGATATCTTCAGCTTTCTAGGCCTCAGGACCCATGACTTCAGACATGAATGGATGATTCTTTCATTGAAAATGCAGTCTCTACCCTTGTTAAAGGAACATTCTTCTTGTGTGTGGAGGCTTAGATATCTGTTTTGGAAATCCAAATACAGAGGTCTAGAGATCCATTCTAAGGAACCCAATTGGGGCAGAGACTAATGGATTAGTCGTACACTGGTGTCGCCCTCCGGAAGTGTTGTAAAACTGAAATTCGATAGTGCAATAGGAGTGGACAGAACTGCTGCAGGTTTAGTGTTACAGAACCACACTGGGTGCTTTATTTATGAGCGTACTATTTATTTACCTTCTATGTTTGCAACTGGAGCCAAAGCCAGAGCTCTCTTAGAAGGCCTGAAGTTTGTTGTCGAGCTGGGTCTTTTTTTTCGGTGTTATTAGAGGGAGATGCAAAAAACTGTTATTATTACATTTCTCTTGGAGTCTACAGTCCCTCCCCCCTTGGCAAATTCGTCACCTCGTGATGGATTGCAAAGTTATGTTGAACTCTCTCCCGGGTTGCTCAATGGCTTTTGATGTAACCGTACTTAGTTATGTACTAATTTTTTCGTGATGTATCAATTTTTTTGGCTAAGTACCTCGTCATTTGACCTGCTCCCAGGTGACCTGTGACTCAGAGGATGGTGGAGCTCCCTGGTGGCGAATTGCCTGGGGGAGAGTTACTTGGTGGCGAGCTCCCTGGTGGCGAATTGCCTGGGGGAGAGTTACTTGGTGGCGAGCT